ACTACACGCCGTAGTTTCAAGCAACTTCTGGTGAAAATAAATATACGATCACATCATTTTTGCCTTACGTAACAAATGTGATTAACCTACAATATAGACAGAATTCTTGTGAAGAACTAACACAGAGAAGAGAAGAATAGGTTGTTTATAAACAAAAAGGACAAAGAAAAACGCCCATTGTAGGACACTTTCATACCGTCACAATGTGTACAGCTAAGGCAAATTAGATAATAAACTTGAGAAAATGGAGAAGGAATTCGACATTTCAACACAGCCAGTTGTTTCCCTCTTTGTATTGAAGGAATTTTATTTGTTCAGCATAGTGTATTCTTCCAGTTACAACAGTGAAGATATTTATTGTGAACATAAAGACGATAGATGTTCTGTTTATTCATGACAGGAAATGGTACTATGGATAAGTTGTGTATTTTGAGAAAAACTGAGCAATTTACTTTTTGAGACTACCTTCTCCAGCATATATGAATAAAAGTGTAAGATGATACCCATCTCAAAATGCATAAATTTAAAGGATGGAAGCAACTAATATATGTACATACACAAGAAACATATCAAACGTAATTTGTGTAGATAAGCTCAGTAGGTCTATTACAAAATGAAAGGTATGAGATTGACAAAGAAAATGAGAATAGTCATAAAAAGTTAATTATACTGAATTTTGAAGGGTCTAGTAGAGTAGAGCGACGAAGATTTGATTTGGGAGATCATTTGGAAATCAACAATCACATTTACCTAGTCATTATGACAGTTTATTTTTACGCACCATATGTGGAAGATTTGAGAAAAATTGATAACTCAAAACTATTTAAAACAGACTCAAAGCAAATAGACGTCCGGTGGTACTGCATAGGAATGGTTGCATGGCACTTGCGAAATACATATCTAATTTCGATTAAGAAAGTAAGTTGCATTAAGCTAAATATCTATAAACGCGGCGATCATCTTCCATTCGAGCAAGAAATTCTCGTTCTATGAGGGATTCAATACGCTGTTTGATCATCAAAGGAGTGGGTACAAATCGTGATTTAAGTTGTTCAATAACTTCGACAACAAGTTGCCCGTGACTTAAGGTTTTTCTTGCTTTCATAACCCGGACAATAGTTGCCTCAATTACATAGCGACGGTTCTCATCTACTTTCGTTCTTGTTTCCTGGCGTTCTGGTTCACTTTCTTTAACGGTGATACTTTGCACCTAGAAATAGAAAGTCGAGAAGATACATGTTTGTATGGGTGATTAATAAGAGACTGATTTTTATTTCACTGGAAGAAATATTAGGGTCTGTAGTAGTATATGATGGTACCTGGCTAATTTAAATAGATTGGGAAATTGAAAGGATTGAATAAAAGTATGGGTCATAATCTCAAGCAGCAATAAGTAAGAAATATGAAAGAGGTTGGAAAAACGTTCATGACTGAGTCAAATCATCAAGCCTGTTCATACTTATTAGAATCGATTGAATAAAAAAGTGGGAAAGCCGATGTTACCACTGAAAATATGAGTCGGTGAGTAATACTCAGAGCAGGTAGTCATATAAGCGAAGTAAAAGCGACAAGGAATGGGACAACTTTGTGGTTATTTGATTTCAGGGCAATTATTCTGGTTTTACTCAAACTGATTAGTAAGGATAAAAACGAGATTCATAGGTATGGATGATATCAACAAATGGAAATGTATGGCCTTCAGTCACTCTATTCTGTTGGTTGGTTAGGTGTACGAATGGAAATTAACAGAAGCGTAAACAATAGACATGTTTAATCTACTGATGCAACCTGATACCGTAAAAAGACAAAGAAAATGTCTAAGAAGTCCCAGATGTTAGGAATTTGCTAGTCATCAACATTTAGAAACTTTTGAAACAAATATGACCCTACAACGAAGCAAGAATTTTCCTACTTCAACCTAGTGCTGAAACTTGAAGAACACTTGTTTGGAACCAGTCAAAAACAGGCTTAGTGCTCAACCTTATTTAAAACAAAATAGTGCTAGCTGTAATGTGTTTTCAGACCAGTTCCTAAGTTTTCAGAAGTCAACCTTTTTAACTACTTTCAAAATCACAGAGCCAGATGGTCATTTGACAGAAACATTTCATCAACGAAAACCCTTATACTATGATACTATGAAGAAAAATAAGACTGTACTGAATTGTTAGCTGCACGATATGGCCAGTTCGTTTGGTCAACTGAATTCTAGTTATCATGTTATGCAATAGGTTTACCCAACTGACTGAAACAGCGCTACTGGACATCGTGTGTCTGAATTCAGAAAGTCAGACGCAATGTAATAAAACAGTATTCTTTATCGTAGATTACTCGAGGAATTCAACATATGATAAAACTATCTAAAGACAGTTAATCACTTTAAAGAATGTTGCAATCTTGAAAACTAGTCGTTTGTACATAACTTACTATGAACTATCATTTGGGATGGCTATATCACGTAGTAAAGCCATGTAGTACAGCCGTGTTCAGTGAGAAGTTGGCTACGCAGTTATCAGAACAGAACACCATCACTCATTCAGAAGAAGCTTGGTGCCATCTCCAGTCTGCTGTAAAATCAGCCTGACGAACAATGTATCCAAAATTCTAGGTTCTACAATCACTAGACACTTGATTGAAGTTCGGGAACAATAAGCTGGAGAAAACCAGTCAGACTTCAGACCAAGTCGTGTGTGTAACGACCAAATATTCACAACCCATCAGGTTTTGGAACATACACACGCTTAGTGACACCCAACACCAGCTGTACTTATAGACCTGAACACGGCATTCGACTCCGTCGGCTGAGAAGTCTTATGACAATGTCTCTCAATGAAAGGCGTGCCGAGTAAGTACATCACCTTATTGAAGGCTCTCTACTCAAACACTTGTGGACTTGTTAGAGCCTATGGTGAGATGTCCAGGGAACTGTACTCGTCAAGGCTGCCCACCTTCTCCATTCTTATTCAATTTTATCATAGATATTCTTATGGAGGTCTCCCTCACGTCACCCGATTACACAAAGGCTGATCTAATCGTGGGAGAATTTTCGTTAGATCTAGAATACTCAGATGATATAGTCCTGTTAGGTGAAGACGCTGACAAGATGCAGAGTCTTCTGAACACTTTGAGTGGGAATTTGAGAATGTTTGGGATGCGTTTCTCACCACCCGAATGCAAATTGTTACTCCAGGATCGGTCTTCGACAGTGCTACGGCTAACAATACATAGTGAGTGTGTCGACCACTTCACTCACTTGGGAAGTAGGATCAGGTCTGGTGGGTCAGTGGCCGATGAAATCTCTGCACGAATACGAAAGGCTCGACTGGCTTTTGCCAACTTATGTCACCTGTGACGCTGCCATGATATCCGGTTGTCTATTAAGAGTCGCATGTACTGGACCTGCACAACACTCCAGTCTGTTCTACTGTATGGCTGTGAAACATAGCCATTGAAGCTGGAAGACATGAGAAGGCTGGCTTCAGATGTTTGACCACCGTTGCCTTCGTAGCATAGGGCGTATTCCGTGGTGTCATCACATGAGTAACGCAGACGTCAGGTGTAGAGTTTTAGGTAGAAGTGGTAAGTCAGTTGTGGACCTTCATCGACTGAGATGGTTGGGACATGTGTTACTTATTACGTATGCCTAGTCGCCGTCCGCGTCGTCACACAATGTTGGCCGAAGTAGGTTCAGGCTGGAAAAAGGCCCTAGGTGGCCAGACTAAAACATGGCATCAATGTGTGAAATCTTTGACCGTTGGTTTGAGCGATGTGGGGCGATGCAGACTAGGTGGTTGGGGTCCTCGGGACAAGAGGAACCAATGATTGGAGACTCTTTGGGATATGACTCACAACCGATGTCAGTGGCGCAGATGTATACACACATTATTGTCATCTTAACGCTCCACCGAATCTCACCATTTTCTCATTCTCCCTTCCTCTCTTTTCGTACTTTATATTTCTTTCGACTGGATTTTGTTTTCTTCATCTTCCACTTCACTGCCATTTTACTTGGTGTACTTATATGAGGTGTGGCAACTCGTACCGTCACGTAGTAATGCCTGGTCTTATGTTGATATTGATGATGATGATGATATTACGTAGTATAGTCGAGAGATGTTTAATATCCGTACTTATCATACTTTATTACATTTGTCCCCCTAGATGTAAGAATTCTTTAAAAATTCACGGAGATCGATTTTCGTCACAGGAGATAGTCCTGTCGAACACAGACTCTAAGTTAACAACGCTAAGGGACAATTTGAGGACGTTCAGAATACAACTGTTACCGCCCAAATGTGCGATGTCGTCTTAGCGCTGACCTGTATCTGTGTTCTGTTTAGACCTAAAGTGCAGCGCTTATGAGTTGATTATTTCAATTACTTGACCAGTGGCACCAATATTTGTAAGATGTTATCTATTAGCTATCAACAAGTTATTTATACAAGAAGGCCAACTAATTTATGTCATCTATGGATTCTGTATGATATCCAAGTGTAAAATGAAACTTAATGTGTGAGGACCTATGACACTACTTAATTTGTCTAGCACGAAATGGAGAGGAGTTTTAACTTAGGACGCTATAAGCCAGATGACATTATCTGAATACTTATTAAGGCACAAGTATAATGATGAGCAGCCCAGTTCACTCTATTATATGGTTGTGACGAATAAAACACTGAAAGTGGATTATCTGCGTAGATCTTTTGTATTTAATTACCGCTGCCTTCATTCTATCAATAGTGTGTAACGGGATCAATGTACGATTCATGGAGACATTAGGTGTAGAGAACTACATGAATGAAGTCATTTGATAAGGTTTGGAATGTAAAGCACACATGTTGAACCATGTGTTTCAAAAATCGGAAAAATGTCATCTTATCTCTTCACAAGTAAAATAAGGAATGTGTACACCTAATAACGAAATATTAGAAATTCGGATTCAAAATCACACTTCATAAGTCTAACCAATAATAAGAATACAAGTAAAACAAAAACATTAACGTACCCGAACTTTGATGTGTTTAGAGACAAAAGAATCATTAACGTAGAAAACATCAGTTGGTTCTATTTCACGTGTTTTAGGCTCTTTGCATAAAATGCGCTGATTGCAACGGCCTAAAGCCAAGGCCATCAGACTACGTTTCAACTCCCGTTCAGGGATATTTGTTTCGCTGGCCAATTCAGCAAAGGTATAACGACTGCGCCGATTGAATTTCATTAATATTATCATCTGATATGTGGAAACCTAGTAATGATAATAATAGCAAAGAACACAAAATATTATAAATGAACAAATAATGAATATTAATCGACATAAAACAAAAAGGATTATTTTGAATTATTTTCTTATTTTACCTATGTACCCACATAACACCATTATTTCAAAGACTAAAATGAAAAAAAGTAGATCCTAAAACACATAAAAACCGAAACATGAGACAGTTAATCAAACTAGAAATGGTTTGTGACCACAACTAAAAACCCTTGAGTACTAGACAAACTTTAATGTCCTTGAGTTCTATCTGTGGAGAATTGTACGAAAAGACAAGCGATATAAGTACTTTCTGAATTTGTAACTGGCATCAAACTAAAGGGACAGGAAGCATTCAGTTGATCATTTTCGTTCAATGCAAAAAAAAAAAGTTTTACAACTGAAAATTATTGGCAACAGATGTTTCACTTAAGATAGGTACGATAACAAACTAAACAGTTTACTAATATCAAAAGTGAATATCGACTGAACTGAATAAATATTCATTTATAGAGAAAACAGTATAAAGAGTGAGACACTATGATGTGAATAGTAGAGAAAAAATAGTTCTAAACTGGCTAATAGGTGTCTCACAATCACTCTAAGGTTAATTATGGTCTGAGGAATTAAAAAGCTAATACTTAATAAAGTAACAAAAGTTTTTTAGAGTCTTAAAAACGAAAATAGAAAAATGCTAAAATATGCAAGTAACACGAAAGTGAAAATGGAATAGATGACAAAGAAAAAACCATATTTAACATTTCCAAGACGATAAACAATAAATACCAACTCAACAGGTAATAGAAAAAACATGCAAATAATAGTTTTTGAGGTAAGTGTTTATCACCTATTATAAGTGAAAAACTTGGGCACTGTGGTAGAATGTAGTTCCATATTAGATTTGTTTATTTGATATAAAGCGCACAATTAAATAATACTGTATCACTATCAATTAAATAATACTGTATCACTGTGCGCTTTATATCAAATAAAAAAATTTATCACCTATTATTTTCAAGAAACTTCCTGTAGCTCGCAGCAACCACATAAGCATAGGTGTGTGATTAAACCTAGAGCTATTAAATTACCTTCAGTTTCACTGCCATGATAAAAAAATGTCATTATTATTTTCCTTTTTAAAGCTTAACCCCTAGAAGGTTACTCAAACTACTACTTATCTTAAAATAGATATACGTCAACATTTAAAAGTAATGAGCTGAGCGAAATCACTCGCGTGGCTAATGAGGATTAACTGATCGTAATTCCTGAAATGATAGCCTCGCCTGGTTAACTAGATACCAGCCGGTCTTAAGCCCACGTAAAGAGAGAAGGTTGGGCATAGGGCTAGCAACCCTACACCGTAAAAACAATACAATCCCTACAGAAACTTCAAAGCACAAGCAAAAAATAAAAACAATATCATTACTCGCTGGAATCGGAGACACGAAATGACGCCGGTTGGTGAAAGCCTTAGAGAAGCCGATTGGCCGATGTGTCTCATCTCAATGAAAGCAAAAGTAAACGTGAGGACATGGAATGTCCACACCATGTTCGAACCTACCAAGGCTGCCCAGATTGAAAAGAAGATAAGAAGGCATGGCAAGAAGTGCTTGGAATCTGCGAAAGCAGATGGAATGGAAGTCGACTCTCCAAACTGTCAACTGCACAGTCGATAATCTACTCCGATATTCTCACCCAGACGACAACAACAAGCACACTGAGTCTCGGAGTGGCTATCATAGTGTCTCCAACAGCATCGAAGGCTCTCTCTCATGCAGTGGGAACCAATCTCCTCCTGCAGGATCAAGATCATGACAACAAGATTCAACTCAACAGGAAGGAAAGTTACAGCCATACAATGCCACGCTATGCACCTACAAATAATGCAGATGAAGAGAAGAAGGAGGAATTCCATAGACAACTGCAATCAACACTGGACAAGAACCCATCCCAGTTGGCAACATCAAAATTCTAATGGACGGCATGAATGCCAGCCAAACTGGGAGCGGATAAAACAGGAAGAGAACTTATCATGGGCCGAGAAGCGCTCGGTGAAATGTACGAGAATAGAGAATTGTTCGCAGAATTATGTGCATTCAACGATTTGGTGATTGGAGGCACTGTGTTCAAGCATAAGGACATCCACAAAGCAACATGGAGTTCACCAGACACCGGGACACACTAAAAATCAGATCAACTTTATCTCAATCTCAAGAAAGTGGAGACGCAGACAGCCTACTGGACACAAGGTCAAGAAGAGGAGCAAATGTTAGGCTCAGACCACTATCTAGTGCAAGGAACACACACCCTCAAAACCAAGTTGGAAACCTTCAAAAAAGTTGGCGAAAGACTACAGTTCAAGTTCAACACCCAGAACAGAAACTGAAGGATGAAACTACAAAGAAAATCTTCACGTCAGTCATCAAACAAAATGAGAGATATCGAGGGACATCCCTGAAGAAACCTCTTTGGATGAGCACTGGAACTCTTTGAAAGCAATATGGAAAGAAACCTGCATAACCGTATTAGGAAGGAAGAAGAAAGAAGATAAGGAATGGATCTCGACGGACACATGGAAGCTGATAGAGCAGGGACAGGAAGATGGTCAAGTAGGAGATAAACCAGTGAAAGGATGAACAACGAGAAGAGGAACTGAGTACAGTGTATAAAACGCTGGACAAGGAAGTGAAGAAGAGTGCACGCAAAGACAAAAGACACTTCCACGACACACTTGCAAGTGAAGCGGAACAGGCTGCAGGTAGGAGAGACAGAGACCTGACAACACTATTTCAAATAACCAGGTTACTATCTCGGAAGACATCAACACACATGAAACCAATAAAAGATGATGGGGGAAATTTAATTACCAAGGAAGAGAAATAAAGGAAACGATGGGCTGACCACTTCAAGAAGCTCTTGAATCGATCACCACCTGCACTTCGTCCAAAAATACAACCTTCAGCCCTCCGACCCAAGTCGAACTCCTGAGCGCCACAAACCTACTGAAATGCGGGAAAGCAGTAGGACCAGATGGAATCCCACCAGGAGCACTGAGACCACACGTAGGGACAACAGCAGACATGCTCACAACACTATTGCAGAAGGTCTGGAAGGAAGAGAAGGTACCTGCCGACTAACTGGGAGGAGGGCTACCTTGTCAAACTCCCGAAGAAGGAGGGCCTAAGCGTTTGCAAGAACTGGCGTAGAATTACGTTCCTGCCCCCCCGAAGCAAGCAAAATATTAAGCCGCATCATCCTGTACAGACTGAAGGATGCACTGGATTCAAAACTACGGCCGGAACAGGCAGGCTTCAGGAAGTACGAATCATGTGCGGACCAAATTGCAACGCTGCACCACGCATCATCATAGAACACAGTATGGAATGGCAGTTAACCCTCTACCTCAACTTCATCGACTTTGAAAACGCCTTCGACAGCGTCGACCGACAAGTAATTTGGCAGTTGCTTCAACACTACTGAATGCCACAAACCTTTATCAATCTCACTCAACAACTATATGAAGATGCCACATGCCAAGTAATTCACAATGGGAGGCTCAGTGACGCTTTTCAAGTGGAGACAGGAGTAAAACAAGGCTGTCTACTATCACTATTTCGCCGATGACTTATGTCTAGTGTCACACAAACTTGAAGATCTACAGGCGAAAACTAACAAGTTGGCAGCGAAGACAGGACTTCAAGTGAACGTAGAGAAGACAGAGGTGATGAAGATGCCCAACCAACAACAACAAGCTCCAATCACCATCAACGGGAGAAACATAGAGGAAGTAGCCTCCTTCACCTATCTAGGCAGCACTACTTCAACTACAGGTGGAGGCACAGACGAGAACGTCAAAGTCAGAATCGGAAAAGCAAGTTAGGCGTTCATCAGCCTGAAACCAGTGTGGAGATTTTTTGCACTCAGCATAAGTCGTGAACAACATCCGGATTTTCAACACCAGCTTCAGTCAAGTCAGTGCTTCTTTATGACTCAGAGGCTTGGTGCGTTACGAAAGCGATTTCCAACAAACTGTAGACATTCATCAACAACTGCCACCTACGCTCGTTACTGAAGATAGATGGCCAAAATAATAAGAATGAGCAACAAGGAACTCTGGCCGGGTAACGAACCAATCAACAACCTATCGCTGAACAAATATGCAGAAGGAAGTGGAGATGGATTGGGCATACACTGAGAAGGCCGACTGGGGACACCACACGCCAGGGCCTGGCCCTCGAGTGGAACCCCGATGGGAAGCGACGAGTCGGGCATCCGAGGCGAGGGTGACATGGGGGAGATCGTGCGAGGAAGAAATGAGAGCTTCTGGGCTGTCGTGGAACCAGGCTCAAAAGATTGCAGAGAACAGAGTGTACTGCAGACGTGCTACTGAAGCTCTATGTTCCATTAGGAACCCAAGGGACAAATAATAATAATAAAATTCGTAAAGTGATGCACTTTTGTATGTTTGCTCAGATCATAACGAGTTTCTAGTCACTGCCAACTGACAGCACAGCCATCAGGATCGTGCAACCTGGCTTCTTACCCTTGCCACTTAATTCTGAACTCAAACAGATCAGATAGCATTCAGTTACCGATGGCACGTACTCTGGATTGTAATCTGATGACGCTTGAGAGTGTGCTAAGTTCATCTTGCTTTCGGTAGTCATCAACATTGTCATTTTGAATGGGTTAACGTAGGAAAACTGGTTTCAACCAGTATAGCAACCAACTAACTAATTAGTCTGGCTACGTTCAAAGTTAGCTGTCAAACAGTAATGGTTCCCCTTACAAGACGCCGTAAATAAGATGAGTAATTCCGCTTGTAGCTTTGAACAATGCCCCGCTAAAAAATGCTGGGTCTCTACGAGCTCCTTGCAACTTCCTGACGCTCATCAATCTATTCGACAGGCGGTGAGTGCAGTGGTGCGTCCAAGTCCCGTATGCGACAGATCAAACAGTGTATACATAAGGACCGTGATATTTCGTGATCTTAA